TAAGGGATCACAACTTTTTCCCATCTCATCACAACTTGTATTCTTGTTTCTTTAAAAATAAGTCTTTACGGGTTGTGAAATATTTACTAGTATCTTCTAATCTCTACAAATTGTATATGTTGATCTTTATATTAATCAAAGAGCCTCTAAAGCAATTAAAACCAAAAATACTCACCATTGATGCCACAACTTTTAAGAGCTTCATTCAACTCCTCCTCAGTTAAATTGATATTCAAATTTTTCAGGGCATACTCCAAGTTAGGTATACTAACTCTGCCATTATCAACACATGTCAAGACACGTGCAGCTTCTTTAATCTCTGAAAGGAAAAACTAATATATCTAAGACATTATTGTGCAGAATAATTGTCCATAGTTTACTATAGGTAAACCTACAAATTAACTATCTGAACCAAAATCTCTATAAAAAAGAAAAATCTTTTCTATTTATAACTGAATACCCACTTATTTCAAGCAATATTTTAAAAAGAAAATTTCATGGTAAAGAGAATATAAGGGGTTATTGGTATATATTTTAATAAGATCCACTCTGAGTCATTTCATCCATTAACTAAGTGAGCTATATGTCTCTTAAATAATAGTTATACCCTTTACACATAGAAGGAGCTCTGGTAGCATAGTGCCTAAGGCATCTGACTGCTAACCAGAAGGCTGGCAGTTCAAACCACCAGCCACTCCTCGGAAGGAAGATTAGACGATCTACTTCCATAGTGATACCGCTTCAGAAACTTAAAAGTTTGGTTTTTTTTTACATATAAACCAAACCCCACTGCTGTGGAGTCGGATCCGACTCATAGCGACCCCTCCTTGGGTTTCCGAGGCGGTATCACTACGGAATAGAATGTTTAAAGATTTCTGTCAACTAATGAGGAGAACAATTAAAGGCTAACATCTGATGCTAAAGCTCTTGATCCCCAGTGCGTCTGCTAATCTACAGTATGCTTTTGTGTGAGCTAGAAAAAGACTCTCTCTCCTTTGCATAAATTACAACAAAGTGCAATTAGACAAAGTGCACTCTCCTCAGAGAGGTTGCAATCCATCAGGGGGGTTCAAGGTTTAGTGAGCACAGTAGATAGAATATGGGATACCTTTCAGCCTCCACTCAAACTCTCTCAACCAGGCACCTTTATGCAAGGCACAACCCATGCAACCAAGCAGGGGAGTTCTGCTGATCCCAGACCAATTTTAAAAAATAAAAGATAATCATCAACGGGTTTTTTAATTTTTTATCCACACCATTTCCCACTCCATTTCTCACTCAAGCTCAAAATCAAATCATTGGGTATGTTTCCATATTTTGAAAATTGTTTCATTACACTTCCTTCATGGAGGTCACTTGGAAAGAACATCATAATAGAAGCTTAGATCTACATTGATTCTACTAATATTACTTCACAGTT